TTTTTGGTTGCAGCCGCCATTGTTATTTGGCAGGCCCGGGCTGGATTCGAACCCGCCACCTTAGGTATATGTGGCTGGCGCTTTAGCCACTTGAGCCACAGGCACTGAGCCACATTACCCTTTTAAATTGTTTCTTTTCCAAAACCCCCTCATCTTTGCAATCTGCTTAGTAAGCACAGAATGTACCTAGCATTTAAAATGCATCTCCCTACTCGGCATTTTCCTGTACTGCCACACACACCCCCATCAGTTTGAATGGACACAATATTCCATCTACTCTACCATTTGCTAATTACATCTTCTGTTGTTCCCAATTGGTTATTGCTGCAATGACCAGTTTTAGCTGGTGTTGCTAAAACTGGTTCTTTGCTTTTTCAATTCTTTAAGGACAAACATCCTAAAATGGAGCTTGTAGATCAAAGATCAGAGATACAGAGTATTTCTCTGGATCTTAAGAACACGGCTAAACGGCTCTTAAGACATATGGCAACCAGCCAGCAACATGTGCACTGCAAATGAATAATCACATTGGCTGCATCATGGGTACTGAGCTGTATCCATCTTTCAAAACCAGCCCACCATTAATTCCTATGTTCATCCCTTCTTATAGAAACTTCCAGAGTTTCAACAGCTGGTTAAATTTTCAACCTTGGAAGGCAACAAAGTCAGAATACTGGTTTTGTTCTTTTTATTTATTTATTTGTTTGTTTTTCAAGGCAGAGTCACCCTCAGTAGAGTACCATGGCATCCCAGCTCATAGTAACCTCAAACTCTTGGGCTTAAGCGATTCTCTTGTCTCAGGCTCCCAAGTAGATGCAACTACAGGCGCCTGCCACAATGCCCAACTATTTTTTTGTTGCGGTTGTTCAGCTGGCCCGGGCGGGGTTCGAACCCACCACGCTTGGTGTTATGTAGCTGGCGCTGTAACCACTGTGTACGAGCGCCGAGGCCACTTTTGTTCATTTTTATTACTGTGTCTACACAGTAAAAGATCTTCATCTACACACACATTAGCAGTTAATCATGCTCTCTCCATGTTCCAATTTATTTAGGAAAATCCAACTTTTTGGCTTCCATTTACCAAGAAGGGAAGAAAATAAACTGCCTTCTGCTTAACCAAAATATACTATCTCCTCCAATCCAGACTCATACTCAACACCTAGAACTCGGCTCGGCACCTGTGGCTCAAGTGGCTAAGGCGCCAGCCATATACACCTAGGGTGGCGGGTTCGAATCCAGCCTGGGCCACCAAACAACAATG